CAATTTAGTATCATAAAGGGGTGTGTTTATTATTATTAATAATAGTTTATAATATGTCTACTATGAACTACAATGTTTTTATTAGTGACAGTTTTTCTTACTAGAGTCCATTTTATATCAGATGATTTTTATATTAATAAAGTATGCTTTTCTTTTTAAAAATTATATCATCTAGGCCTTACACAAAGTCAGATTAACTATCCACAGTGCACACACACACACACACACACACACATACACATTCATTCTAAAGTCATGAAATTTAACTACACTAACATCATTATTCAAAGCAAAAATAACATGTATTTTAGCATGTATTTCACTGAGCTTTTATCCACTGGAAAATCTGGGAAGAAACAAAATGGGTGTCTGTTCCTAATTCCTAAAGTAAATGTCCTTCTCTTTGGACCTTTCTGTGTTACGGGACAGGAAGAGAGAGAGAAAGGTGAAAATAACAAGGAATAAGGACAGGGCTGAGATGAAAGAAAGTTTGCCATCCACCTGCCAGATGGGGAAATCCTTACAGTTCATGAGCATCTGAATTGCTCAAGATTTTTTACAGAAAGACATACATTATCCATAGAAGATCAATTGCCTGAGTCTCTGATTCACAAAATCTCTAAGACCACCTAATGTTATTTTTAAAAATGTATGAATACATACATCTCCATTTTTACTTTATAATCTGAGCTACAGAAAATCTACTGCATTATCATCCGGGCCTCATTACCTCTCTGTTAATTAGCTAACATTTGTAAAATGCTTTGAAGATGAAAAGCATCCTATAAGCACTAAGAATTAGTAAGTAATATGAAAGGAAAATTATAAAATAGATACATTGTTAACATTAATTTGTATTTTATCTTTTCTTATTATCCTCTCCCAAGCATTTGACATTTAGGGCTAAGCTACATATAAAGGCTGAGGGAGTTGCTGTGTCTATTATAGCTGTGACTTGGTATTTCAACTTACTCCAAGTTAACATTTGCCAAAGAATGAGTTCTCAAGCAAAAAAATTAACTGTCCAGAAAGATCCCTACTTATAATGGTTAATGTGTTAAGTAATTAAACAAACAATTCACCCTCCTCCACCCCCCACACACACAGAGTTAAAAGAAAAAGTGTATTAATTCAGAAGCAATTAATAAGCATTTCTCTTTGTGCAAAACAATGCAAAATACACTAATGAATACTAAGATCAGCCAACCCATTTTGGTGTGAAACATATGATTCTACTTTGCACCCACTGTATAGTTGCAGGTCCTGCCGCTGAGTAGCTTAGGACAGTATATTATGTAGTGTTGACTGTTCCCTACATTTTGCTGTCATCAAAGTGAGTTAAACAAACTTTTCTGAAGCTGTACTTCTACTCCCTGTCATCTCACCTCCTCCTTCCCCCAATCCTAAATGGACAGGACAGACAGGCAAACTTGCCTTAGAAAATCTTTGGCAGCTTGCCAGAGACTGACACAAGGAAGAAAAAGCTATAGTAAAATATTCTTAAAATACATGTATCATGAAAGCCTTCAATAAAACAGGAAATAATAGATCAAGTACATTCAAAGTATTTGCAAACTGTTTAATTGGGTAAGGGCAAGTCAAACTCCTCTGATCACAGCCACATCCTTATTGTAAAGCCCACTTCAGTGATACTAAAGTTAATCCCAAGTCCTGTTACAGGAAACACATCCTTATTAAAGTAACATTAAGTGCTCCTTTTTTATTGATCTTTCCCTTCAGCTTAATGATAGAAACTTACTGATGTTTTAATAATAACCTCACAAGCTTTATCTCATTTTACTTTGCCTTAGTACTAAAAGATGCAGTGGAAACTAACTTAGCATAAACATTTTGCAGATGTCTTTAAAGGCCAGGGGGAGGTGGAAAAAAAAAAAAGATTCAATTGAGCTGTGTGTTAACAAAGATGGCTGAAAAACTAAAAGATAAAAGGGAGGCTCCAGTGTGAACATCAAAGAATTGTTAATGACAAGAAATACCATTAGGGTTAGCATCTCTTTTGTTTCAACCCTTTCACACCTGCAGTGTGTGGTGAGCTAAGCCTTTGTTCCAAAATCTGAATTACCTCCATTAGCATTTATAGAAAAATGGTTGCAAAACAACAGAAATGTACTTTTGGTTCTCCCCTTTTGCTTGAAAAGTCAGAAATTAGTTAGGTATCTGTGGATTTCTTTCTGGTTACTGGATGCAACTATAGAGATTATAGAGGTGGAAGGTAATGGGTTGCAAATGAATTTGGTTGCATTGTAAGAATAGCTTTGTAACTGAAAAAGAGAGTAATATAAGCAACACAGAGAAGCTCACATAAGAAGCTCAGACATTAGCAATAGCAAAATCAGAGCGTGAAATTCAGATTAGCCCTCCCCAGGCTGTGAGAGGAAGGGGGTATTGCAAGACTTGGCATGGCTAAAGGTGTAACCTGTTTTATTTGGCCCCTGAAAAATTTTAACAGATGGTGGGACCAGCTGTCTTTTTCAGCCATTTAATAAACTCTTCGGTGGTAACAGTTTGGAAAGTGGGGGTTTTTCGTTTTAGGCCAGAGGAGAAAATAAAGAAATCTGTCCCAAATTGTCTTTGCCAAGTGGTAAAGCCTAGAAACATTATGAAAAGTTAAAGGGGAAAAAATGGACTATACTATTGTCATTATATTTTTTAAGGGAGCAGCAACGACAAAAAATTCCTCTTCTGCCAAATTGGGTGATTAACTCCTGGCAAAATGTGTTAATATTTTATATATCTGGAATTTTAATTGTGGTCTTTCAAAAAGAGATGCCTGATTATCTTTAACGCTCATTGACAAATTAAACAGCACTTTAAGACAACTATCCAAAGCATTACAAAACATTTGCTAGAAGTTAGCATTCATAGAAGGTAAATACTTTGTCATAATGAACGAGGGGGGAATTTTATCCGGTTTACATAATTGGTCAAAAATGGTATACAACCCTCCTAATCATTCATGTAGATTACAGAGCCCAGCTCCAGACCTCAGGGAATGAGAAAAAAATTCTCATATTAACTTATTTTCAGAACAGGATCTAAGAAATTTTACAATTTTATAAAATTGGCATTGTTTTTCCACCAATAAAATAGCAACTCTCAATTATGGTAGAAAGAGTTTACTTACAAAGATTCTCCCTAATGTCTATAAATACAATTCTTTTTGCAAACGATGATGATTCCTGACTAAGCAACAGCCTTTTCATTTGACAAAGCTTTGTTCTGTCCACAGGCCTAGATACTACATCTATTTTGTCCCAAGTAAATTGCAGCAGTAAAATGTAAACTCTTTTTAAGTTAAGAGAGATGTTTTGACACCTTTTTGGACACCTAAAGCATATGCAGCATTCATTGTATCTAGTAAATCTCTTTTGCTTAGCTTCCAGCTTGCCCCCTTTCCAGATTGCTAGTGATGTTTGCCTTCTTAAACATGTAGCAAAGTGTAGATGGGTGAGAAAGGAAAAACAAATAATTCTACCTGGAGTAAGGTATACAGTCACCAAGCTAGTTACCAAAATTAACAGAATGCCATTTATAATCTGCCAATACCCATGATTTGTGAATTGCCTTAGACAAATCACAGTTCTTCCTTTAGGGGGTACTTTCTGTAGTCTGTATCAGCAGAAATCCCATTCATTCAAGGCATCCTTAAAGAGGCCCTAATATGCTGCAAGCACTGTGCCAGGAGCTATATGAAACTGATCAAGACAGACAAGATCCTTGCTCTCTTGGAGCTTATATAGCTTCTGGTCTTCACTGTACAAGGAGGGAGAGAAAGGCTACAAACACAAAGGCCTTTATAGCAGAATGTTCAGGCTCCATCTACACAGCTTCAAAACTATCTAAATGACACAGATGAATTTGACTATTAAATGTAGGGGAAGGGGATTTGCCCTTTACTTTCAGGCGAGCAGTGGAAGCAATTGCAAGGTCATCCTAGCAAACCTTAGCAAAGCGTCTGGCTTTTCAGTGTAACCTTTTAGTTTTCCAGCCTCTGATTTCAGACAGATGTCACAGTATGATTATCTAGATCATACCTCACTAAAGTATGATTATCTAGAAATTATATGTATCTAGGAATTATAAGTATTTTCCTTACACATTACAAAGCGCTTTACTACATTTTGGGAATAAATAGTTTCGAGTGGGAAAAAATAAAGATATAGAGCCTTACTTTATAGAAATCAAAGCATTAACATAATCTGAAAACTAGGTTGATCTTGTGGCTGGCAGGCAAATACTTTCAACTACTTCTAGTCCTTACCTCGAAAATTTTAACACCTTTATTTCCTATGAACCACTTACAGGTACTAAAGTCAATTTAAATGCTGACAGTAATTCTGTCAGATTTTCCAGAATGTGAAAATGTAATTTACCTTGAAAACAAGAGAAAAATGAAAAAATTAATGTGAAATCCAACTAAATCTGTATTGGAAAATTCATTTGTTTCTTGGAGCATTATACTTGTATTCTTCTTTCAATGTCATCAAATCAACAGGTCATCTGGGATTAGTGAACATGGAATTTCGGACTACTTGCCAGATTTAATGTTTTCAGGTCAACACAGTTAGGATGTCTGTCTGTCTGGGAGGCAACTGGCCCAGACGTTGCAGCCTTGGCCAAGGACTTAGACACCCACACACAGGATACTCTCAGCTGTGGCTGTCCTTGTCACCTTCACAGATGCCAAGTGTGTCCCCAGCAGTGGCCATGGACCAGCAGAGTAGCCCATGGAAAAAGGCACCAAAAACAGCAACCCCTAGGAATAATCTCAGTGACACCTAAATAGCCATTCTGGTAATAGACTAAGCTCACAAATTTATGCTGCTTCCTTAATCCCCTTCATAAATAAATGCTGCATTTGACAGCAATTTTTTTTTAACTAAAAACTCCCTAGCCAAACAAAACAATATTTTACACTAATGAAAAGCAGGAATGATGAAATTATGAAGCCCATTAAAAAGTGATAAATAAATACCGACCTATAAATTTCCTGAAGATTGTTGAGAAATGTCATTACTGTCAGAATTCTCCAAATATCCAGGAAACTGAGAGAAGAAAAATAGTGTAAGAACCCTTCATATTAGGCATTTTCTAATAGGATAAGTTATTTTCTTAAGTTGTATAATCAGTAACAGTTAAATTCTTAACATTTAAAAGAATGATTTAACAAATTAGTTAACAAAATAGTAGTATATGTGAAAATTAAATTATTTCCAGTCTCAATGCTGTAATTAATATAATTACAAACATTCAAAAGGGATTGAGTACTGGACAAAATAACTCTTAATTTCACTGATATGGTTTAAAACATATTTATTGAATACTTGCTGTGTGCCAGATACCACTTATCTGGAACAAAGAACCTTAAAAAATTCTAAAGGTGACAGGGAAGAAAAAAAAAGAAGAAAACAAGGAGGGGGAAAAATAAAGAAGGAAAGAGGATATTTAGTACTCTATATTAAAATATACTATAAAATTACAAAAGAAAAGAGTATTTTGCTGGCACCAAAACAGAGAAATAGAACAAGAAAGATATGACATAAACTCAAGTATATCTAAGTATTTCTTATGATACAGGTGAAATTTAAAATTGATCAAGAAATGACTCAGTAGTGCTAGAAAAATTAAATATTTGGAAAAAATAAAGTTCATCCTTGTCAAGAACTGTGAAAGCCTCAGGCTTTTTACCTACCTGCAGACTACCAAGTTAGCCTGTTACAGTTTCATGGATGTTGGCAGAAGGTGCAAATTCCTGCCTCAGAGACAAACTGTAGTAGCAGTAGCCCGGAGCTCAGCATTTGCACCAGTTCCCTGAGCCTCCAGTCCCATGGGTGATGTGAAAAGGGACAGATGCTACCTGCAGGCAGTGGAGTGGATTATAGGAGAGGAACCCCAAGTTTAAGGAGCTGGATTCTTTCATAATGGGCACTAAGACTGCCCAGTCTTTGCCCTTGATGGAGGTATTATTTTTATTATATGCACAAGCTACCAACCCGCCCTCTGCTCCTAGGGGGACGCTATATTGTCCAAGGCTGTTCACCATAAAAATATCCCTGAAAATATAGTTGAGGACGAAGGCAGAGCCTTTGCTCACAAGACATGCAACAACATGAGAGACACACAGAGAATTGTGTCCCGACAGTCATTAACTATGTGCTTTATTTTAAAAGAATTCTAGATAAAGAAAGAGTTCAATGTAAAAAAGAAAAGAACAAGAAGAAGAAGAAACCAAAAAAGTTGAGGAGAAAATATATATGAATGCTCCATACTTTTCAGATAGGGAGACCTTTCTAAACATAATGTCAAAGACAGCTTAAAGGAAGAGAAGAATATGTTTTACTACATAGAAATTTAAAACCTCATCATGTCAGAGACACTGTAAAATAATTAAATTGCACTGGGGAAATGGAGAGTTACCATTTAATATGTACTGATTTTCAGTTTGGGAAGATTAAAAACTTTTAGAAACAGATAGTGGTGATGGCTGCCCAACAACGTTAATGTATTTAATGCTACTGAATTGTACACTTAAAAATTTTTAAATGGTAAATTTTATGTTATGTATATTTTACAATAAAAATATTTTTAAATAGGAAGCTGAAAATGTAAGCTAGAAATAAAATTGGTTGCATATATGATAAAGGCTAATATTTTTTCATTCAACAAATATGTATCAACTGCTCTGATATGCTAAGAATACAATGGAAATCAAGATGTTATGATCTTGCCTTCAAGGATAATAATGAGCTTCTACAAACTACTAAAAAAAAAGAAAAACATTCCAATAAGGAAATGAAGAAAAGAGGCATGCACAGGCAGTTCACAAAACAATACAAATTCACATATATGAAAAAGTATTCAAAATTACCAGTAATAAAATAGAAATTATAAACAAAATACCACTTTTACTTTCAGAACAGCAAGTTTTTCTTAAAGTTCTCAGTGTTAGTAAGGATATTGGGAAATTGGTATCCCCAAACTTTGCTAGTAGGAGTATAAATTGACATGAACTTCACCTACAACCTGACTGTATATATATCAGAAGCCTTAAAACCACACTTGCTCCATGCCCAGCTATTGCCCTGATGGGAAGGCATCCCAGGAGAATGGTCTGAGATATGTACAAAAGTTGTTCTTTATAGCATGATATATAATAGCAAAAAAAAAAAAAAAAAAAAAGCCCACTAGGAAAAATTTAAATATTCAAATTAGAGCATTTATTAGTTAGGGGCAGCCACACAATAGAATAACATATAGTCTTTAAAATGACTCAAAATAAGGCTGGCTATAAAAAGAATACAAAATGACACTATTTTCAATTTTCACATAGGCCTATGTAGCCATGAAAAATATTTAGAAAGGCTTTTATAAAGAAGGTTGGTAATGTTTATCTTTCAGCATTGAGTGTTTAATAGTAGTGGTCAGGAAAGAAATGTTTAAGGGAAGAAAGTAGCTGGCTCTTTTCACTTTATTCAGTTTATATTACTTATATTTGAAGAAAACTAAGTACAATTTAGTTCATTCTCTGATGCAAAATGCTTTTCTGTGCTTTTTAACATTGTCCAATTCTGTTTTAAATATTTGTTTCCCGTTAAAAGGTTCTGGGAATGGACTCTCCATCAGCCATCTAGAGGAAAGGCCTTATAAACTACATAATTATTATAGTGGATTATTGCACAACTATTACAAATTACAACTTTGTTAATTACATAGAAATCTGGGGAAATATTTATGGTAAAATTAAGTGACAGATTGAAAGGATGTATGCGTGACGTACATTATAGTTGCAACCACACAGTAACACGTATGGAAGCCTTGGAGGTAATAGATATAAAGACAAGTGCAGATGTGCCAGGAGGTGAAATGATGGATAATCAGATTGAAGTTTACTTTTATGTTCTCATCTGAACTTTCAATAAATACAAAAAAATGGGTGCATGAGACTGCATGGATTCATGTGAGAGAGAAGCTACATGACTCAGACCAGGACAGCTTGGGCCTGCCTGCACCTTTGTGGGGTCACCACAGCCTCGGCCTTGCCAGCTCAGGAACTCAGTCTAATCTGTCTATCAAGGGACGTTCTGGCTCTGGGGGACTGATAAATATAATCTAATGGTTTTCAGAATGTTTTAAGTCAAGAGCCTTTTCTTCTCGTGAAGTCTCACGAAAGTCCTTTAGGCAAGTAGAAACCTCTGCCTAATCTTCCAGAAGAGAGATTTATAAAACAAACAACAGTGTACTGTCAATAGGAAAATCTAAGCAAACTCTAAGAAGATCAAGTAAGATGACTGAATGGGGAGGAGGGAGTCAATAGAGGAGCTGTATGTACATTTCTCAAAGTGCTGGGTGAGAACCCCCAGCATTACAACCACGCAAGCCAAGCATGTACTTGCAGAGCTCAGAACTCCATTCCAAGCTTAATAATCACAGTCTCCAAGGTAGGGCCCTGGTATCTGCATTGAGGCACACTCTCCAAGACAGAGGAAAATGGTGGCCTACTGCACCAGCTCCATTAACTGCCCTCCTAGAAGGTAGGACTGTTTGTGTCAGGCCAGCAGAACACCATCTTCTCATGACTGACAAATGCTCCATCCGTCAAGATTGTTTCCAATATTTTGTCTCCATCACCATGATCCTCTGACCTTACAACATCATCTCAGGGCAGACAAAATACCACTGATTAGAATATTGTTCATCCTGCATTAGTGACCTGTTCAGATGGGAGTTGGACTACTGATGAAACAGTAGTCTCATCAGTCACATTTGCAAATCATTTCTGAGGGTAGTCTGAGAGATTTCCAAAGATGCAAAAAATTTCATACATACTGATGTTATTTCAATTTCAGAGGGGAGATATTTTCTTACTGTGTTCCGAATTGGGGGTATATACTCAGGTTCTGAAAATCTCTATATATTAATAAAAATAAATACTTAAAATTGAGCTCCCAATAGAAAACAAGAAGATACTTCAAAACTCCTTTCATTCCCGGAATGCTCTTTTCTTTGAATGAAATAAGAAACTTCTAAAGAAAAGGTAATGTCCATGGTACTGATTTATTTCATTTCTGACAGCAGAATTCAGGACCTAAACCTTTGCATTAATTACATTATTCTTTTGATAATAAAAGAGATGCATCTGAGTCTTTGAAACCGTTGTGGCCAGATGGAAGTATAATGTGAATATGACAGTATCTATGAGAGTTGCTCGATTGACTGCTCTGGGGACCAGAACTTGAGATTTCTCTGCGAAACAGAGCATAAGCAACAACAGTGAAGGTTTTATCTCTGGTTGCCCAATCTCTGTCACTGGGCCTCCGCCTTGTCCTGCTGGGGCTACCAGCTCCAGGTGGAAGAGCAATTTGGTCTCCTCTCGACTTAATCCTCGCCTGTCTGTGGAGACCTCACCGAGGGTGCCAATTGTAAGGATGGCTCTTGGTTTCAAACACCTGTCCACTAGGAACTGCACTTACACCCCCAGCTTCCTTTCATGCAGCCACAAGACAGACATCAGATGGTGGCAACTTCTGCTCCCTCCTGAGCAGATCGGTGACACGGTGTCCGACAGCTTTCTGCTACAGCTTCCACTATTTTCCGGATATTTATCAGAGTGTGGAATTTTAAATGTGGACTAAAATAGCCAGCAAAAGCTTCTTCAGAAAGCCTTGCCAGAATCATAAGCAACATGCCTACACTTTCCTTTTGATTGTTACAACATTGCTTTATTCTCATTGTATGATTTGTGTTTTTAAAATTTGACATTAACTTTGTGCGTTATTCTAAGCCCTTTACATGTATGAACTGTTTTAATCCTCACAACCCCACAAGGTAGGTGATGTTATTATCTCCATTTTACACATGAGAGCATGAAGCACATGAGGCACAGAGAGGGTAAGTAAAGTGTCCAGGGTCACAAAGCAGTAAGTGGTGGGGCTGGAGCCAGGCAGTCTAGTTCCGGAATCTGAGCCTGCAGATTATACCAATTGCTTCCCACGGTTTACAGATAAGCTCAGGTGCTGAGAGGTCACCTGCTTTTCCCCACCTCACA